CGCGAAAATAAAATTTATAAATGCGCGCGTAATATAAAGATTTTTTAATCCAAAATTTTGTGCGAGATAACTGGAACAAATAGCAACTGAAACTGTTAATTAGAAATGATTTGTATCAACACAAAAACAAATTATCTATATAAGCACATTAATGTAACTGAATTGATAAACCGCGACGAGTTAATTAACAAATTTGATCTAATTATGCAATCATGAAATATAATGAAATAATTATAGAGGCTGAAATATTATAAATTTCTTTTTTAGAATATGACGTAAAACTTGCGCTATATTTAAACATAATTTTCATACAAATATAGTTTTATTTCATGATTTGACAAATATTTTAAAAGTTGGAATCTTGTATTCTGAAAAAAAAAAAACGATATTATTGTGTATACATAAAAAAATTTTCGTAAAAATTGTATTTATTAAAGTCTATTTAAATTAAGTACACAGTGTGAATACAACTTACTGGCCTATATCAATACATTTTAATTGAACTGGAAGCTATATAAAAATAAATATGAGTATATATATAGTGTTATTATATTCATAACAAATAGGTAAATAATTTCGTTTTAATATCTCTATATATATTTTGTTTACCGTTCTTAACTTTTTCATCTTGATCATAAATAATTCAGAATGAAAATCGGATATAAAAACGTGATTGCACTCGTGACTCTCATATACATATACGACATGATAATTCTCTCATCCTTTTTTAAGACAAAAAGCTTACGAATGATTGCACCATTTTTTTTCAAAAATAGCATTTTCTAAGTCTCTATAAATATAATCTTTTTTGTGCTATTTAAATGTATTAATTATTTTAATTAATGCATTTAAATTGTTTCTACTCTTAAGTAGATAAGTATTTAAAAGTCCATGTATCGTCAATTCAATATTAACTGTTAATAAGAATTTAAGACTTAAGTCGAGTACTACCTCGTGAAAAATACTTATATTTTCGCTACTATCAGACTTTCTCAGCAGATGTATGTTTATCGAGGGATGTAGTTTTCGGTTGGTGACTATAAAGGAAAATCGAACAGATGACCAGGAATGCACCCAGAGTAAACTGGAATGACAAGTGAAAATCGAATAGATAAACGGAAGCTATACAAGAAATTATGATAGCTAAAGACGTAGCGAATCCTTTCAATATGTTATCAGCGTATTTGACTACCATAGCTACAATCAGTCCACCACCCGCTTGCAGGACCACTAGGTAGCAAATGAACAAATCGTAACCGAAAAAGAAGCCCTGCTTGCGTATAATACTACTGTCTTGTAAAAAACATGTGCTTAGGCCGAACGGTATAGATAACACACTCAATTGCACGTTTCGCATCCACACGGAAATGTCGGAGCCCTTGAGGATCTTCTCGAAATAAATTCCAGCAAAGCCGGAGATGAAACACGCGCTTAAAGCGGCAGAAAAACCCAACCAGTGGTTTTGTTCAATACCCGAAGGTAACTGTGCTTTTACAGTTTGTGCCAATTGTACCAGAACCACTCCAATAACCAAGAGTACAAGAGCACCCCACTGGGTAGTGTGTAAAGATCTACGTAATATCGTCACTGCGAAGAAGGCTGTCGTCAAAATTTTCAACTGATACGTGACCTGAAAATATATTTATTTCAAATATATAATAAACTTTACTATACAACACACACACACACACACACACACACACACACACACACACACACACACATACACACACACACACACACACACACACACACACACACACACACACACACACACACACACATATATATAGAAGAGAGTAACCGATATGTAAAAGAAATTATATCCACAAATAAAAAAATGTAAGATATTTTGAAATCTCTGAATTCCTTTGTTTCTTAGTTACGAATTAAACGTTTCAAAAATGTTACAAATCCTTTAAAATCAAGAGAAAAAGTAGGTCAAGTTGCAGAAAAAGTTAAATATAATCTAACCAGCCTAGATTTATTCATTTTTTAATTTTGATTTGTTTCTTTATAAATTTCTTTTTTTTTTAGTCAATATTTTTTTTGGTCAATATTTCATTTTTATTTCAATTTAACATAAAAATTAAAAAAAATATTTTTTCAAATTAATATCTAAATATTGTGTTTTGTAATGTGTCACTTCTTTATAATATTAAAATGATAATAAAAATGCTTCAAAATCATAAAAATTCTGTTTAATTCGATATTAACTGTTTCTGCATTTATAAAAGAAAAAAAAAGTGATGGACACTTCAATTTCAAAATCAACTAAATCTTTCCTCCAGCTGCAAAACCATTCAAGAACATTTTAATAAATAGAAATTTCTTACGCCAGCTTAAATGAGAAAAGTTTTTTCACTCAAAAAAATTTTAAGTGGAGCTAACAACTTTTTCATATATAAATAACCAATCGGTTATTCACATATTAATAAATATTTATTAATTCATATTAATTGTTATTCTCCTACATCTTTTAGAAGTAGACAGAACATTTAGTGATATTTCTTACCTGATGCGTAGCTGCATCTAAATTAGATGCAGAAACATAAAGTAAATTATTTTGAATAATGTATAAAAGGGATGGCACGCAAACTTTCAAAGTGTCAATAGGTTGCTTCACGATTGTCATATGTAATGCTTTGTAAAATTTCTCAAAGTTTCCTTCTTCGACATATACTAATATAAGGCAGGTAATCAATTTGACTACTTCAGCCATTACAACAGCTAAAAAAGAAAAATGACATAGTTATCTGTGAATGAAACAAGGATTTTCTATATTATATGAAGATTATATTAAGATTGTTACGTGTAACGCAGTTTAGAATATTTACCAGTAGAAGAAAGAAACATGTCTCCTGCTCTGGTACGTGAATATCGCATGCTAAGGCCAACCATAGCATTTTGAACTGTGAGAGTAACTAAACTCACAAACTTTAATGTTTGCCCAGTTCCTGTAACATATATCTTCGGTGCTTATAGGTATACCAGAGAATAATGCATAATATATATATATATATATATATATAAATATTCATAATATACTAACTTTGCGAAGTCTTGTTCATGTTGGTAATGTCTTTTGAACTTTTTTAAAACTTGAAGATATTTTTTCACAAACTACATTTTTCCTAGAATTATAAGAAATATATCTCAACTTTCTATTAAAAAAAAAAATATTTCATTACTTTTCTTCTCCTCCTTATGAAACAATCAGTTTTGATTCTACAGTCATGAAAAGAAAGAAAATGAATAATACATTCACGTGTAAAATATTAATTATTATCAAGGTATAAAGGTAATTGTTAAGAATGTAAATAAAAGTGATAAAAAAATAATATGATTTATTTGCAGAAGAAAAAATAAATCAATGAGACAGTAAATAGTAATTCGCATATATACATATGACACACGTTTTATAATACAGAACGTTACTTTCGGTTCATAATATACATTAAGATAAAATAATTAAAATAAAATCTATTTTGTACAATCCACAGTACATTCAATAATATACACACGTCATATTTGTACAGTGACAATCAGCCGTGTAAGTTTTGATAAACAAATTGAAAAATTAAGATCCTTGTAAAGATACAGTGAAAAACCGTTAAAAGCTACGATAATTATTGCGATAATGCACAAAATAGGGTAGTTAGCAATTTTGAATAGCTTGCGAAATAATCCTTGTCGAAGGCAATATACCTTCCCCGGAGTTTTTGTACACGTTGGACTGACACGTTGAACATTCGTACTTTCGTAAGAATGCCTAGTTATTTTCCTGTCGACGTCACCGTTGATTGGTCTTATTCTGGTTTTGTCTTTTATTTTAGGTACTTGGTTGATTTAGCATACACAAACGCAAAGATTCATTTAAAGAAATACTAATCGACGTAGTTTTTTTTCGTGAAATGAATGAATTTGGCAGAGAAAAGCGTCGCTCTGCTCTGTGAACCGAGATATCAATTTTTAAAGTTGACAATTATTGAGGTTAGGAAGTATGTCACAGCCACGCCAATACTACGACGTGAGCATGCGCTGCAATCATCTTCCATGCTCATGCGCGTACATTTTAGGTATTTCTCGCCTTTCTCGCTGTTTTTGAATCCTCATATGGACAAACAGCGCTTTGACGTTGAGCGCTGATTGCCTAGAAACTGTAATGAAATAGAAAGAAATAGAAATAGTTCTATCCCTTTCTATTTCGTTAGTTACTCGGCTGGTTAATAGCGTTTTTCATTGGTAGAACTAGTAGTGCGCACTCAGTGCACTTTAAAGCCGTTGTACAAAAATCGAAATAAAGATATACGTTTAATAAAAATATATAAACGAATTAAACCGTGAAATATTCGATACATTTTATTGTGCTATTTGATAAAATAAATTTTGGGCAGCACAGCTTTAATATGTACAACAGCTTTAATATGCCCTGAGTGCGCACTAGTTTTGCCAATGAAAAACGCTACAAGTAAACTGACGATGGTGAAAGTGGTCCTAAATATATATATTCTATACATATATTGCTGAAATTAAAATAATTTAATAGAAAGTCACTAGTTAGTAAGTGCACTATGTAAATTAGGTCTTATGTCTTTGGATGCATCCGGGTGAATTTCTGAACGCAGCCTGTTTTGTTATCAGCGCGTTTCCGAACGCATGCTGATTCGTGCTCATTCGTGTTGCTCGCGCCATTAACTTATTTTTATGTACCTACTTTTGTGGAACTATCAAAGTGGATAATAAGAGCGAGTAAAAATTGGAACAGCCTCGAACAAAGTGTCAGATCTATGGGAACTTGTTTGTGCTTGAATCAATTTGTATTTTTGCAATGGCGTATGTAAATATAGCCGAATGGAAAGCGGATCAAGTGTGCGAGTGGTTGAAAGGTACGACGAAAATGTTTAATCAGTCTGACAGTACATCTCCAGTTAGACATGGAAAAATTGGGTCATAAAAATATGTCGGAATCCTATCTAGTTTTGCGTATCAAGCTCCATTCTGTCCATTCTGTTTATACATACGCCTTCCTTTGTTTCTATCTACTTTGATTTATTCTCTGACTGTGTCAATTTTTAATTAATTTTTATTTTAACTTATAAAAAACTAATTATTAATTAATATCTTAACAGTTTACTCTAACTGATAATTATTTAATGTCTAATATTAATCTGTGTAGCAAATGTTTGATTAATTTGTTGTGACTATTTTTACACCTTATAATCTTTTTTACATATCATTTTATGTATACTTCCAGTTATCAGAAATGTAATTGCATACAATCAAAGCAGCATATTCTATTGATATAATAAGACGAATTAATAAACAAACCACTAGTAAGACAACAGATTGGCAACATATTTGTTTAGATCTTATAGGGCTCTCTACAACAGTCATTAATAAACTTAATAAAGTTATTAATAATCTTTTAATAAGCTATTAGTAATAGAACAAAAGTCAGAAGCAATTTATGAATGAATAGTGTGTCTTAATACAACAATAAATCAATAATAAGTAACTGCTTGGAGATGATCAAATCCCATTTCTTATGATTTAAAACTTAAATTATATTGGGAGTAGATTTGTCAATATAGAGGAAAATTATCGACTTATGCAGATATTTAAAAACTATTTACATTCACCTAAATATAAGAGATGCCACTTGACGATCAAAGTTAGGTGTTAAATCAATACATATACGAATTCTTGAAATGAATAAATTCTTGAAATGAATGAATTCTTGAATCTCAGAAATATGATTTTGCTCTGTTATTAGCAGACTTTCAACACAATCCATCTGAAATATTAATAATCTTTCCAAATTTAATTACATATATCTTAAATCCTATAAAGAACTTATTGCAAAAAATATTACCTCGGCTTGGAGACAAACCTGGATCTCTAACATTCCATGCAAGCGTCCTAATCCTTTAGATCACCAAAGTATCAGCAATAACAGATTGGCTATTGCAAAGAATATTGCTAAGTCCTTTGTGGTCTAAAAGCTTAGGACGCTTGCACGGAATACTAGAGATCCGGGTTTGTCTTACTCGACCAAAGTAATATTTTTCACAATAAATACTATGTATCTTTTAAAATTCTACAAGAATTTGTGGTTAAATTTAGTTATAGGATAAAGTGAGATGTTGCTTGAACCTGGCATTTCAGTTTGCATAAATATTAAATAACATCTTAAATAATTACTATTGTAAGTCATGCGGGAATGTTATCATGAGTTCATTATTTTATGTCATAGGTTTGGATAATACTATACATCCCTATATTCATAGTTTTCTAAATCATGATGTCAACGGACAACAATTATTGAATGTACAATCGCAAGATTTAGAACGTTTGGGTGTAATAAAGCTCGGTCATCAGGAGATCATTCTTAACGCAGTAGAGTATCTTAAGAGTTTTCACTATGAACTGGATAAAGAGAATCTGCAGTTGCTGGCATTGCGACTATCGAGCCAAGCGCACAGCTTACATAAGGAGTTGTGTCGGCAAAAAAATTCCGAATCAGTTAGCACTCAAACATTGTCAGATGTAGCATCCATTATGATGGTGGTCAAACCTTTAGTGAGATGGATGGATTATCCTCCATTTAATGGACACATAGAATACCATGCTAAGAAAGCTGAATTGATGAAAATATCAATAGAGATGGCTACATGTGCACAAAGAGATAGATTTGCTGAAAAGCCAGTCCAAGAAATTCGAACAACTTGTAGTCGACTAGCAACGTTAGCAGATCATATTATTCAAGATATTGTTGATCCTATGATATTACAGCCTGCAAGTTTAGATTTGGCAACATTAAAAAAGAAATCCAGCGATGATTTGGTATGTTTTTTATAGTCTAACAATTTTTCAATTATTTATCTCATTATGTTCAGTTCTCAGAATATTATACGAAAAATATTAATTATATGTCATGTTGGTTTAATTTTATCAGGGTTGCCTGTGATTTTCAGTTGTTTTTCATGCCTAACGCGTTATTTGTAACCGTTACCATTATTTTTTCTGTTTTTAACAATACCGGTAACGTAATTATATTTTTGCAGTAATGATAATGAATTCAACCGTTATTTATATCGTTATTTTAATTCCTTACTACTTTTATATCTATTCAATAGATTACATTATTTTTAATTGGATAGAAATATTTTATTTAAATAAAAATTTTTATATTGTAAAATATTTCAAGCTTTATATTTTAGGCTTTATTTTGGAAGTCACTGCTAATACTGATAATCTGTAGTATATGTTTGACGTGAACTATACATTTTTAATATTGAAATGCATTCTTAATAATGACATAATTGTTAAAAAATAATATTTAATAAACATTTTTAATAATATTTGCATTTGTGAATTATAATCTAAATTTCTAAAAATAACTATGTCTTCTTTACCCTCTTAGGGACGCGATATCGTCTAATAATTTAAAAAACCATTTTTTTTTTAATCATAATGTGATTGCTGTTTCCTGATAACATTTTCTTCATATATATCAAAATATTTTTTTTATTTATATACTTTTTACAAATGCTTATATTATACCATATACAAGTGTAATTTGTTTAATTATTGGAGTATTATCTCTTTTAGGGTTTTTATATTTTACCATCTTTTCATGGAGTACACCAGATAACTGAAATTAAACTTGGATCTGCCGCACATCAATCTGGCAAAATGATGGAAGGTGATCAGATAGTTCAAGTAATGTCTTATATTTATGTACTTCTTATATATTATAAATTTTGACAAATTATATAATTCCAAAATGTATCTAAATCTCTGTACTAGGTGAATTATCAAACAGTAGTTGGTTGGGAGAGAAAAAATTTGCTTGAATTGTTTCGTGAAAGTCCAGCAGAAATGCTTTTGACTATAAAACGTAGACCAAGACATGCTAAAGTTTATGGCAAAATTTACATAAAACCATATAAACTTCCATGTAACAGAAATACTTCTTATGCAACACAAGGACGTAGTCTTCCATCGCCTAGACCAGAATTATTAACAATATCTGACTTTGCAATGCCATCACCTAGGTAAGTTACCTTTCTATATGTACTTTTATTATTTGTGGTCCTGCTAATATTCTTTCTTATCTGATAACATGTGCGTATATACAAAGTGTTCCGGAAAAGGTGAGCAATTTCTCAAGAATATACAGATGAAAATAGCTCTATAAGTTCCTATATAAAACTTTTTTCTTTGATGCATTACTGAAATATTAATTTTTTAAATTAAAATTTGAAAAGCATTTTTTTTAAATAACTTTTATACTGTTCTCTAGGTACTGATAATTTGTAATGATTAGGGCGCGGAAGTTTGGGCACGATTATCGGATACCGGATATCCGGCGTCATTTTTTTTTTTCGAATATCCAATATCTGATAGAACAATTATCCGGCCGGACGTTTTCCCGGATATCCTGTCGGATATCTGAAAAATGGCTTCCAAAAAAAAAACAGCAAGGGAAAAGTAGCGATATTAATTTTTTTTATCTTTTCAACATGAAAAAAAAAACAGGAAAAAGAGATGAACTGCGCAAGAAATTCAGCTGAAAAGAATAAATTTCTGCATTAATGACGCAAACGAACAATATAAAATTTCAATCGGATATATTACCTGATACTTCTGATATCCGACTGTCTGGCCGGATAGTAAAAAAGTGCCGGATACCGGGTGTTTTCTGGATATCTGTGCATCCCTAATAATTGTGCACATAAGCTAAGATTATCCTTTTAGTGCATTTTAGTGCAAAACTGTCCATTAAAAATTATGTACGCAAACCTTATATACTGATTTTATTTCTACACAAATTCAAAAACCACGTTTTTCGAACTATGGCCCTCATAATATGATCACCTGTTTATTTTATTCTAACACATTTTGACATGAAATATGAAATATTTCATAAACTATTCATTTTTTGATAACTATCTTAATACTTTATGCATAGAATAAGGAGATGAATCAATTGGTGTAAAGAAGAAAAACTATTGTCCCAAATTGAAAAGTAAACGTAGATTGTAACTGATTATATTTAAACTCTCATTCTCTCAGAAATTGTTGCTTAAAATAAAAATATACACTAACTTTTTTTTACTTTATTTTTTAAAAACTTTCTTGCTATAATATTTTAAGTCGCAAATGTTAGGACCCTACCACGTAAATGTGTCGCGCACGCGCGCAAGCTCACACACACCCACACACACAACACACAAAAGATGGGCGATACAGAAAAAAATCTCGATATTTCGTATCACAATGGCTGCGTTTAGCAGACTCAACAATTTTGCAACCGTTTTGTGATTCTTCGCTGAGATAGGACTTTTCCTTTAAATCTAAAAGCATAATCCAATCAGCGCGATGAATCATAAAACGGTTCCAAAATTGTTGAGTCTGCTGAACGCAGCCAATGTATCATGAACAGAAATATTGATACATCAAAATATCGGTTCGATAATATGCGATTTTGCTGATATCGATATGGATCCGATATTTCTATTTTTAGACGATACACGCATCGATATGCTTATTGATCGCGTATCAGTTCGCAAAAAATTAATCTTTTTGCAAAAATAACGTTGAAGATTATTTTGATGTTATTTCATCAATCCTTTGAATAACTATTTTGATCAGAATTTAAAAAAAATTATGTTATTTTTATTACAACTACTATATTGTATATATATTTTGTTGAGAGTATATATTGCATATATAGTACCATTGGAAAAATAACATATATACATATATTATATATACATTTACACATTTTATTTTTATTTTATTTACTTATATGATCTTAATCTTATACGTTTTTACAATAATGAATATCTATGATAAATAATAAAAATTGCAATCCAATCTTAATCCGTACTAAACTAACACGCGCTTAATTAATGAACCATGGGACATTTATTCACGCTCACACGCTGTAAGCATAAATTCATCCTTGTTGTCTATCAAATATTAAATAACAAATGATGCTTACAAGTACTGTAAGTATAAAACGAAACGCACCTCATATCGGAAGTTCAATATTTTTGTTCAAATATCGAAAGTTAGAACATTGATAGTCAGTATCGTAAGACAAAATATCGGGGAAAAAAATTCAAAAATATCGATATTTAAAATATCGCGCATCCTTAATGCGTCGTTTACAATACATGGAGTAAGAAATAAGACTAAGAAATTGACCAATCAACCACCAGTCGAATGTCAGAAGAATACTCGACTATGATTGGTCAATTTCTTGCTCTTGCTTCTTACTCCGTGTATTGTAGACGACGCATAATAAACACCCTACCCTTTAATATATTATATTTTTTATTTTGAAATTAATTACAAAATTTTTATTTTCATGTGTAACAAAAATGTCTTTTGTTATGTAGACATATGCCAAAGAAATCCGGTGCAGAGCCAACGAGCATTTTAGACGCAGTTAAAATGTTGGATACAATGACTACAGATAGTAGCGATTCTGATAGTGAAGCAGAAACACCACTTTACGCTAAACGAAGAAACTTAGTCCAAAGGCGAGCCACAATAACCGGTGCCAGTCCTACATCCAAACATGGTATTAATCTCGAACGGTTTTGGAAGGAGTTGAAATTAGAGCACAATGCGGCTGTTCAATTGCGTGATAAAGCAGCATCTTGCGCCCATGGTTTGGATAATGTACCAATGGTAAATATAAGGCCTCAAACGTGTTTAGGATTAGAATCGGCGAAAAAGAAGAACAATACTAATGAGCAAACGAATAAAAAAGTGCAATTTGAGGAAAAATTGACTGATGTTAAAAACACGCATCCAGTTAATACGAAAGAAAAGATTACTCCTATGCAAAACTGTGATGTTGGTGCAAATATTGTAAATAAAGATATTAATATAGAGCATTTGCAAGCATTCAGAGATAATGTCATTGATAGCAATAATTTAAATGATACGACTGTGCCTTTAGGTGAATGTAATAATTCTATTAGTGATACGTGTAGTATTAATGAAAACAAGCGGAATAATAAAGAAATCGGCATGCGACACGTTGAAAAGCGTGATAAATTAGATAAAGACTATACTACCTCTGCACATGATTTATCACACATTGAGAAATTAGACTTATTTGACCATTGCTTAATCAATAAACCAAATAATAATTTAACAAAAACTAACATTAATACTGTTGTTGAAAACGTTGATGATAATAAAAAGTTGAAGGATACAAGCAGCAAGCACAAAGAGCCATCTGCTATAAAATACAATGGTAATGTCGCTCGAAAAATTAGTGACATCGAGAAACAGATCGCGTATGAGAATACAGACGAACAGACAAGTGCCTTTGGAGTGCCTAAAAGAACAGATCTATATAAAGATAATGAATACATTTCAATAAATGATGTAAATCTTGAAAATAGCACGGAGGAGAAAAATCAAAATCTTGAATATGATATACTGGACGTAAACAATAAGAAATACGGTGTCAACAAGTTAAATACTGAATGCGAAATTGTAAACAAAAACCCCAAAACTGTTTATTTCAAACATTCGGCGTGCGAGTATCACGAGAATGCTGATTGTGGTACCTTAGAAATATCTAACAGTAAAAGTGAATGTAGTAATAATAATAATAATAACAGTAGTAATAGTAGTAACAATAATAGTAATAATAGTAATAACAGTAATAACAGTAATAATAGCAGTAGTAGTAGTAATGGTAATATTGGTGGTGGTAATAGTATAGATAATAATAGTAGTAGTAGTAGTAGTAATAGTAGCAGCAGCAGCAATAGTAGTAATAGTAGTGCTAGTAATAATAGTAGTACTAGTAGTAGCACTAGTATTATTAGCAACAACAATAGCATCGAAAGAAACCAAACGTTGCCAAAATGTGATCAAATTTTAGAAACGGTTGACTGTACTTATACAGAATTGCTTGAAAAAAGATTTTCCTCAGTGCTATTAAGAGAGAATAATATCGGTACAATGGTATCACTAAATAATAATACTAAGTCTATTGAAGATGATTCAGTGAATGTTATTCATAATGTTTCAAAGATTAACATAAAGCAACAAACTAAAGAAGCGAAGTCTGCAGACTTGCCTTCGGCACAGGTCACGATACAGTCTTGCCGCTTTATAGAGTTACCAAAGATTCAGTCTGTTCGAAAACTTGAGAATAAATCTCACATAACACCCCCAGAACCGCCGCCTCGTAAATATTACACGAACCAAGCAATAACTGATTTGAAATTAAACAATGTTTCACAAACTTTAGAGGATTTGCAAAAACCTCAAGTTCCAGAGAGGCTCGGCATTAAACGAGAATTTAAAAAAGTAGATTTAAGTTTATGTGTTAATCATATTAGGAGCAATTCGGATTGTCAAGATAAAAAGGATTCCTCAGATGTGCTTAATTACACAGAAAATTCGATGGACTTTATTGGCGAATCACGAACTGTAAGTTTAAGCGATCAAAAATTTGATCGTTTAAACTTATCTGATGCTTCATTGTATAATGAAAATAACGACAAACAATCAAGAGAAGAAAAATGTCCTTTTGAAAAGTATGAAACATTTGTTGAAAAATTCGTTTGCTCGGATCAATCCATAACAAACTGTTATAGGTTTGATCACTCTCACAATGCCGATTGTCCTGATGGTATAACATACTCAAAACAAACAATACCATCAGATTTAAAGTCAAGATTATCAGAGAAGGATAAAAGTATTGAGAAAAGTGTTGTTAACAAAGCTATGATGGTAGCTAAAAGTATCGGCTTGCATAGTAGTTTAAATAAGTCTAATAATAGTCCAAGAAGCAGTAGAAAACGGAATATGTTATTAGCAAGTAAGTATAATTGATTACTTTTTTTCTTATTTAAGATATTTGTTCTGATAACAGTATTAAAAAATTAGGTTTCTACAATTTATATTCAAAAACATATATATTATAGATTCTTAAATTGAATCTTATAATACAAAGAAAATATATTATTCTTGTTAGAGAGGAGGAATGTATCCGTAAGAGACGTTGGTACTAACGATTTAGAAGGATGGTTGACATATCGTAGTAGAGGAGCGGGTGGCGCTTGGGCAAAAGCCTGGTTTGTATTAAAGTGTTCATCGTTATACAGGTAAAATTATATAAAACATATGATAAATAAATCATATACATACAACTGATTAAATATACAAATTTGTATTTTTGCGATTAGATTTAAACTACAGGATAGTGTAAAAGCTGACTGCTTGATTATATTGACGGGTTTTACCGTATCCCCGGCTAACGAAGTGAAATCAAGAAAGTATTCCTTCAAAGTATACCACACAGGAACAGTGTTTTATTTTGCTGCTGATACCGAAGACAATTTGATTATGTGGCTGGACGCAGTTAATAAAGGCACTTTAGGAGCGGACACTCAAGATCAAAGCGTTGAGCTTTTTAGCGAAACCGATGAGAGCGATAGTGAAAGCCACAAGAGTAAATTGAAATGTACACCTCAATCTGACAAAGCAAATTCGGAGAAACTGTTTGGTTCTCTGAAAAAGTCTGCACGCAAAGACACCGGATCGTTTAAGGATTACGAAGGCGGTGGTGCGAGCTTGGATCGAAAATATTTGAAATTTCTTAGTGCCAGAAATCAGAATATGCCTGTTCCAACGGCCCAATTTAGAAGTTATAGACGAGTACTTCCTACGTCGACACCAAACAAGTAAGTATATCAAGAATATTTTAAATCGACATACTTACCATATATAAATCTTTTTGTTGCACACAAACATTTTTAACATATTTTTCTAAATCTTAATATATCCTATGAGACAAAATGTTTTAAGCTCTAACGATTTAAATCAAATAAAAATGCAAATATGACTCAATGGAATTCTAATTCTAACGACGATAACTTGGAGATAACTTGTCATCATCTCTGTGCTATCCGCGACCAACAACGAATTTGACCGAAGTTTCCTTTTTTTTTTTTGTAATTAATAGGATCCTTTTAATGGATTCAATATCCATTAATATAATAGAAGGAAATCTTTGTTACTTTTCAACAAAAAAAAATCGCATTCTTAATATAATCCAAAACTAACAATAAAGAAATGTGCAGAAAACGTTTTCGAATGTTTCACAGGAAAGAGGATTGTAATTCGAATTCTCCCGATTTACAAATGACAATTGCTGGTAGTACATTCTATGGTTCGACCACTTCTCAAAATGCTACAGATATGTCAAACACAGACATGAATGATTATCGGCATGCTATAGACAGGTAATTTTTATCTTATATATTTTCTATATCGCAAAAGTATTCCTTATAAATTTAATATCTAACAACATTAACATATGTAATCTGTTGGTAGAAAATCGGACAACTTGCAAGGTTTTACGCAAGAAGAATTCGTGATATCACAACAAGATGAGCAACGACGTACTATGATAAACAAATCGATGTCTACGCGTGCGACGCCTTTGCTCAACGATCACGTTCATGTACAGCATAGAAACTTGAAAGACAGGACGACGTACAACGAGGAAAATAGACAATTAAGTGACACATCTTTGAATGATATTAGTAATATTTATGGCAAGATCAGCGATGAAATACCAAACAACAATATCATGTATGTTCACTCGAAGAACAAGAATACACATGTACACGCGCCTTGCCAATTCATCAAGGATAATTTTGTTACTATTCGATCTGAAAGCGAAGCGAATTACGTAAATGATAAATCTCACGGCAGATGCATGACAACTGGAATGAAAAAGGTATGGGATTCATCAAGTTATGCGCAGAAGAGAAGAGTGCAAGAACTTGTGAATACTCAAAAACCGAGACATGCTGATTTATTTAATTGGGAAAACATGATAAATCCAAACAAGCAGAATTCTCCAAATCAGAGTGCAGACTATGAGCTTAACAAGCATAGACAATCTCCCAATTATGAAAGCAACAAAATGCACGATTTTTTGCCGAGAAATATTGGTATGATAAAGGATTTCATGTACAAAAACTTATTCAAAATGACAATAATCTTAATATCTTGACGAAATTAGTATCTGAATAGTCTTATTAATTAAACGTTATGAAATTCTCTTTAATTAAATCTATTTTTACTTTTTGCATAGGATATTCTGGATCTAGTAATGACCTCGCAAGTCATACATCGCCCGAGACACAGCAATGCATAAAGAAAGATGTATCGATTAATCGGAAGGGGAGTTTTAATTTTGCTAATCGTTATGATAATAGTTCTTCCGACAAACACTGGCTGGACTCACTGAAATATAACGACAAGAAAAGCTCAAGTTGTGATAAAAACCGTCTGAAGAATGTTGCACAGTATCAACCACCACCGATACCGACATCACCTTTCGAGCAGGAAGAAATGCGTGCCGCATTTGAAATGCACTTAGATAAGAACGATCATGTACAGAAAGCGAGTCGCCTGAAAGTTTTATTCGGTACGAAACAGCAAAAACCCTGTACCTTGGAGCTTCCTAAAAATGCCCAGAAAACCATATCAGGTAACTTCTATTAAATAGTTATTAACTTATTGAATATAATATGTAATGTGTTTTGGCAACAAATAATTTTGAATTCTAGAAACTAATTCGCCGCGGTTGTATAAAGCACTATTTCGGGATAAGTATTGCTCTAATCAATCGCAGCATCCATTATCTACTTGTTCCGGTAGTCCAAACTCTGACGATGAGATTAATCCATCTCACAACAACAACAATCCTTCCCAGATGTTTATTCAAACCTTGTGTTCGGACAATTCGGTCAGTGATCTGGATGCAATAACATCCCCTATCAAGTCAAAAGTGCGTATAATTAAATCTACTTTTTTATTTAATGCATAAACGTCTTACATGATTAATTGAAAATAATGAGAGCAACGCAAAAAAAAATGATAAACAATACAGACAATATATAGAAAAAGAATATGACAAAATTTAGTTGAATGTAAGAAATTATATTACTTTTATCTTTTTTAAAAAATAATTCTTTAATATTTTAAGTTTATATTGACAACAATTAATAGTAAAAAATATTCACCAAATAATTTAATTTTGTTTCAGTACGACAGTGGATATTCATCCAACAAAGGCTTTCTAAATTCTAGAAAGAACTTGGTACCTGCAGTATTACCATACATACCGCCACCAACATCTCCACCACCTGATTATCCTGGTTTAGAATATCCACCAGTATTTGAACCTGGAACTTACTCTCTTTCGGATACATCACTGCTACGCAGTCGTAACAAAAATAGTCAGAACACAGGCCAATAACAAAAGCCAAATTTATCTTTTCAAGCAACCAAAGAAAACAATTTCCTTTATGTCGACAGATTATTAATATAAAGATAGAATTTAATGCAATATATAGAAAGTTAGTATTTTAAAATAATCTCGTTCATCTCATAATTCCACAACATATTAAACATATTTATATAATATTATATCGAAATTGTGGAGAATTTATTTTTTTTCTAAACTAAGTATATATTTTAAAGGCGAAATACATTTTACAAATCAAATTGAATATGATACGGAAGACTGAACTAAATGTTATCTAACATCACTATTTGATGTTATCTAACATCACCTATTTGAGATTTGTCTGTTTCAAAAATATTTTACATATTTCGAGAAAATCATGTAAAAATACTAGTATTATTCTTGTTAAATACATTTTAGTAAATCATTGAGATTCTTAAAGCAATTTAAAAGTCTATTATGTATAAACTAATATATTTTTTTAATCGCTTATATAATTAATAAAGATAATAGTTTTGTGTGAGTATACTTGTATGCATGCGTACATAGAGTATGCGAAAATGTATTGCATGTGCGTATGCATCATAATAGCAATCTTTCGATGTTGCATAATTTAATTAGTAATAATATCGTTATTAATAAGATATATTTATAAGATCACGTGGAGTGTATCATAATCTTGTTTATTACTATGGAAAGTTACTTTTAACATTTTCATAAATAACCTTTTATCATAAATAAAAAACTCAATTTGTACATCTGTGTATAATGCAAATATATACAAATAATATTATTTACTAATAAAAATGTGTGTGTGTGCGTGTGTACATATACACTCGGAATGGATCAAAAGTCTGAATACAGTCGAATATTTTGAAAACAAATTATTTTTGAAAAAAATGTTTCAGACGAAAGTTATAGGGTTTAAAAAGATATATTTACTGATCTTACCAGTTTTTGATTCTTGGGTGATTAAGGTCAAGTATTTTTAAAGACAAGATCACGATTTTTTAAAGTAAAGACTTTTATTTTTCATTGCATATTATAGTTTATCTCAGGAGCTTTTCAAAATATTATAACAAAAAATTTTTAAGTACTTTTAAGTTATAAGACTTGAAAGTAACATTACCATCGGCATTAACGTTATCTGAGATATCCAAATGATAATTAAAAACTTAAATGTTCACCATTACAATCTTGAAATCATATATTAAAGTCAAGACTTGGAGGTTGTTCTTATTTTAATTTTTACACTTAGAATAAAAATAAGAAAAACAATCTGCAGAGATCCTGACATATGATGTCAAGATCATGACTTTGAACAACATTAAACCAAGTTTTTTCGCTTTTTTTCATTCAATTTAGGCGGAAAAAGCTACATTTAATCGTCGCCCGGAGTGTATCAAATACTAATAATATTTAAGACCTCCGAGAAAAAATAATTACAGGCAACTTTGAATCAATGTAGTATAACAACGTAATAATTTGTTAAAAAGAGTAAAACTTTGTGTTGCAAAAGGAGGCGAGCAATTAAACATTTGCTTACGTAATTAAGTTAAAAATTAATGAAATTTGTTCACATAAGTTATATAGTCTTTCTTTATTAACGAATATTTATGATACATATTATGCGTTTATGTATATAAAATTAAGAAAACATCAACAAAAGTCACACTCTCGATAGTGCATTGAATTTATCTTGAAGACTCCTTCAATGTTACGAAAATAAATTGTATGGGGCTATCACTTGAAAGCGCATTCAGGTGTGGTATACGTAAAATATTCGCTAACATTAAATACTTGTAATTTAAAAACTATTATAGCCTCGACATTTTGGTATTAAAGTATTAAGATTTTAGTCTCAAAATGATTTCAAGAATCTACCCTTAAGCGTTGTACGGATACCCTATATAACGCAATCTGTATAATGTAATATATAGTTGCAGTAAGGAAATAGAAGCTCTATCTAAATTCATAACTATACTAAATTGATAGTTATAACTTACTAATATAATTCATTTGATACATTATACTACATTAGATATATTTTAAAGATATATACAAATATCATGCATATATAATCGTTTTAATTAAATGTTCCAGTTTGTAACAGATTTTTCTCGTAAATTTAATTAGTACGTTTTGAAATATTAAATAATTGACTTATATGTTATTGTTAGTCAATAATACTGAATTTAAAGATCAGAGAATTAAGGTAATACATTATGACTAGACTTCAGATCAATTAAAAATTGAAAATTAACAACGTAATTCGTAATAACATGTAAAACATACAGAAAGTGTTTTATATCAATAACTATTTATGCTTGATTTAAATTTTATAAGATAATGTTAAACAATTATTTAATTACTGATATTTTTTAATAAAGGGTGTCTTGAATTTCCAAAAAATATATTTGTTTAAACACAATTTTTTATAGTAATGGCTTAATTCAAGGCACTATTCAAGAAACACAGAGAAATGAACAGTTAATATAAATAATAAAATATATGGAAATAATTCATTGATGTAATATAAAAAAAAATTAATAAAAAATTTAATTGATGTATTATAAAAGAATTAAGGAAGCAATACACAAAAATTCGTTTGTAAAAAAAATATTTTATCTGAGATGATTGACGATCAAATCATCGTTAAGTAACAGAATGCAAGTATAATCATATGTT